TGTGTGTGTGTGTGTGTGTGTGTGTGTGTGTGTGTGTGTGTGTGTGTGTGTGTGTGTGTGTGTGTGTGTGTGCACAAAGAACTGCATGAATTTTATAGAAATTATCAGAAAGGAATCATTACTTACTTTTGGAGTCAAACTGATTTAACTCCACTGCCACTGATCCTTGAAGGCCATAACTCTGTCAGTTCTGCAGGTATTGAGCTCAACCTCAACACAAACTCAGAGTGCAAATACACTGAATGAGATGGTTGTTGAAAACCTCACCATTGATTGTCWGTCAGGATTGTTTGTTAGCAAAARATCTCATGAACCAGCAGATGGATTTTAGTAAAACTTTCAGAAGGTAYTGATTACATTTACAACTAAATAARATTTGAAGACAACTTAATTTAAGATGGCTGCCACAASTAATACRYCRACTTGTCATCTTTTGGTAGAAGGTAATGTATGACGTATTGGTGTCAAAAGCCTTCTATTTTGCTAGTTTATGCCAATGCYCCTGGTACTCCCAGGTGGTCTTCCATACTAACCAGCCCTGACCCTGTTTAGCTTTTGAGAACAAACAATATGTACTGAGTTCAGGGTGGTATGGTCACTAACTCAGGCATTTTAGAAATGACAAACAAATGGCTGTAGTTATATCAGTTTTYCAGGAGCTAAAATATGGTGTGTTAGAAGCTGAATTAGCCCAAACACAAACGTATTGACTGTAATTCTGCCTAATGTTATTTTCTTCATCTTTTATTTTTCTTCATCTAAAAAGTCTAAAACAGTATTTTTCAAAATACGATTTACGTATTTTTAAAGCTTGGGATGAAWTGTTGTGAGACATCATAGTATACTTTAAGCAATGACAGGTTTTATTTGTTCAAAGTTTTTTTGCTTGTATCTTACATATGTTTTTTACACACTATTGTAATGTTAGACGCTGTTTGAACTTTCCAAAATGAGGTTTAGTTAAATCCACATCAATAAAAGCTAATTTCCTCCCATTGACATAAAAGTGCAGTCTGATTGTTCCACYTTAAACAGCCTGTTTACTCAGAGCTGTGCGTTCACTTCAGCAGCAGATAAGAGAAGGAATTCAAGCAAAAACAATGAAAAAATTCACAATTTGAGCACATTCTGACAAATTAATCGAGCTTGTCTTTACACAGAGTAAGCACAGTGTCAGCCTTCATACTCTGTTCCTGTTGTGTGGTGAACTTTTCATTATTCAAATTTATGATCTTATCACATTTTCTTTAGAAATTTTACTTTCACTGCAACTAAATGTATTCTATAACTGAATGCCACAAGTTTTAGACAGCCTGTAGTTTGTAAGATGATCGTTGAGACAAAATATATAATGAGCTCATTTTTTTTTATTTAGGAAACATATTCAACAAAGCTGTAAGCAACTAAATAATAGGTGATAACTTATTGTTTGTTGTTTTCTCTGCCACAGTCAAACAAGTCATTACTAAAATGTTGTGGCTTTTTACCTTTTTTTACATCGTTTTACCACWCTCAGTCCATCTAATAAGAAGGAAATTTGTGACTGATTAACTGAATTTAAGATTTTCCACTTTGTGATCATTGCAGCCATTTACTTTAAACAGAGGAAGTGAGTCAGTGTGTCTTATCAATATGAGGCCTCTCTGTCTGCATAAACAAAGTTGGGTTACATTCGAATGTCTGACATAAAAGGTACCGCTTCCAGGGGTGTGACCAGGAAGTCAGATGTYCATGTTWCTTTAAGAGGGAGATTCATTCATTATTCTGCTGTTTTCTCTTAGATGCTGGCTGTTGGAAGGGATTGCTATTGTTTTGCTATTCTGATAAAACCAAGGCCTTTTACTTTTCTCTCACAGAGCTGCTTCTGACCGAATGTGGGCCTAATTGGAGTCAGATTTTTTGAATAAAGCTATTTAGAAGAGAATCAACTGGTTTTCTGCTATTTTATTTCAACTTCCAATTAATTGAACATGTTTTTCTTACAAAGCAAGAAAAAATAGATTAATTCAAAAAATATTCAGCCTTAACTTTTCCCCCTCTTTTTTAGTGTGCCAAATTCTACCCAAAGGAGTCGTCTCTGTGATAGGTCCAGCCTCCAGCCCTGCCTCTGGCTCTACTGTCAGTCATATTTGTGGAGAGAAGGAGGTGAGTCACTCAGACAAATCTGTATATTTCTTGCTCTTTTACTCTTTTAGTTATTAGTCATCCTGTTCTACAGATTTTCTCATGTTTTTTTTATGTCAAAGCAGCAGCCACTTCTCATAAGTTTATTTCCTCTCAAATCMTTTCTTTATTCCACCCAAGCAAGTCCAATCTTGCTTTTTTCGTATTTTCTGGTGGTGTATGTGTTTTGGGGGAGTAAATCATCTCTTTCCTCTCATATCCCCCTCTTGTCCATGTTCTCCTTTCTGCAGATCCCTCATGTAAAAATTGGTCCGGAGGAAACTCCCCGCCTGCCGTACCTGCGCTTCGCCTCTGTCACTTTGRACCCCAGCAACGAGGACCTGAGTCTGGCCGTGGGGTCCATCTTGCACTCATTCAGCTACCCCTCTGCCAGCCTGGTCTGCGCCAAAGCTGAGTGTGAGTTTACACACTGCCTGTTGTAACATCAAACAATGTATTACATGTGACTGCATGGCTCTGTTTYTGTTTAGGTGGGCTTTTTATTGAATCAGTTCAGTTCTTGTGGGCTCATTTGCCTACTTCATGTACCTTTGTGTGTTCAGCGAGAGTGTTGGCTGACTGGGCGGATATGACTGCTCATTTTGACAGTCTGGTCACGAAGTTCAGTCTGTTGTTAGAGTTCAGAACATGGCTTATGATGCTGCCTATTTTTATTTATTACTCATCCTCTGACAAATTGTTTCTTATCTGCCTCGGAGGGTTTTTAAGGCCAAACCAGTTTAATAAATATTCATGTTTGAAATGCTTCCCCGTGGTGGAGGATCACAGGGGACATTTGATTTACCTTGTGAGGCACTCGGAGAGCTTTAACAGCACAGGGGGATTTGGGTTTGGCCACTGGCTGCCTTTATTTTCATTTTGAAAGAGTGCATTATTGATTTATATGCAGCCCCTCATTGAGAGTCACAGGAATACAAAGGCTTAGTCGGATTGGAGGCGGTTGTGTACAAACAGAGCTTTGTGAATATGTGACAAAAACTCCAGGAAGTGGCAAAAGTCTGATCCATCCTCTGACTAATTACCAGAGTTTTTATTTTTTTTTCATCTGTTTCTTAGTGAAGCCGAAGTGGGATTAACTGTTGAGCAGCTGTCAACTGCTCAAAGCAGCAAAACAGAATTATCTGAGAATTGCAAGGCACTTTGCGTAAAGAATAAGGTGGACCGGCGAAGCCTGAACAGATTCTGATGAACAAAAAGCTGTGACATTAAGAAAAATTGATTCGCTCATTGAGGAGCTTTCATTATCTCCCCAGCAGTTAGCAGCCCTCCTGCAGTTTTCTGAAAGTAAGCCGAATTCCTTGCGGACTTGTCATTTCATTGAACTGAGGGAGCTTTGAAACAGCATCAGACACCCTTCTCAGTTTTGATCATCAGTTGAATGGGCAGATAGGAGCCTTGTTTTTTCACCAGGCTTTCCCCTTCTTCTGAGGAACTAGAGGTGAACAACAGGCGGATGGTTAGCGTCTGAGCCGAAAGATGCAGCTTCTAACCCGGCAGTGAAACCGAGGAGTGGGTTTGTGTTGTATGTTTGCCTCGAAGGTGATCTTTACAAGGTTATCGCACTCACAGACTCTGACCCACTTGGCTGCGCTATCTATCGCGGTGGAGCTGTTGCCATGGCTGCCGAATAGGTGCTAACTGCCACTCAACAGGCTTGTTCCACACGCTGAACAACTGTGTGGGTGTGTGTGGCATGGTATGTGTGCTTTTATGTTGTGTGTGTGTGTTTTTTTTGTCTTTGCCTCACTTTGTCTGAACATGTGCATGCGTTGAGTGTCAGAGTGTTTGGTTCCCACTGACTGTACAGTGTGTTTGCACATGAGGGATGAATATATATATTTATATTTGTGTGTGTGTGT